ATATGTGTGTATATGTACGTGTGTGTAAGGGTACAAAAGAACAGGAAGGGAGAATTATTTACCTCTGGTGATTTATGGCATTCCAGACCACATTTTCTATGCCAACTAGCCCTTTCACAAAAGCTTCACTTAAGTGTATTACTTGAAATCCGTCTCTAAACACTCTGCAAGGATGTATATAAAATTAAAAAGGGTGGATTTAATAAGATTAACCCAGAAAACATCTTGTTTCTGAAAACAGGCAGTGAAAAATTCCATCAAGGTTTTATTTGCTAATGGAAACAGCCACATAAATCTCGTTTGAAAAATAAAATCCTTCTAAAGTAACCATAAAGGGCTCTTGTACTCAAGAGACATCTAGGAGCATAAATTAAACCCAACATTAATCAACAGATGTTCAACAATGTAAGTAGGAGGCCAAAAGCCATCATTATAAGCCCTCTGTGACACACAGTCTGAAGGGGACAGGTAAGCAGGACTAGTGGTGGCCTTGCCACTTATCCCCAGCTCAAGGCCAGAAATGAATAATATACTCCAGAGTGAGAAGCAACCACTATCGTGAGAGTAAAAACAAAAAGAGGGAAGCCAATTTTGTACTACCACCATGATGGTTTGCTATGGTCAGTTTGTCTCACATTTCCCTCCTTTTGTGAGTGTTTTCTAATCACTGACACCTTAAGAATATCTCTTATACGAGCAGTTCTTGGAGTTGCCATAGTGGCACACTTGTCAATACCACCGTGTTGAATGGCATTACCTACTAGCTAGTCAACAATCTGCAAATCTATCCTCTTGTGGAACAATATTTTTCTTTAAAAATGGAGGCACAATAATGGTAAACTTACCATGATTTCATGCAGAGTGTAGGTTAAGAGCTCAACTCAGCACGATTGCCAGATGGTATTAACCAGCAGAGACCCTGTCAATCTTCCCAACCTGTGGTCCGTGGACCACCAGTGGTCCGTAAGAAAAACGAAAATAGGGTCCATGGCCTCATCGTTACACCGTTGCCTCAAAACCATGCAGAGATGAGAGCAACTGGTCTCATGAAACCCTCTTATAGTGCTGAAGCAACAGGGATGTCGGGAGGGGAGAGGCTGACTACCCATGAAAGATTACTACTACCACATCAGCTCTAGATTATTAAATATTGTTTTCTGTGTGCAAGCAGATGGTGACTACTGGATGGCATATGTTCTGTATCAGAAACTAGAGCTGATGTAGTCTATCCAATGCAATTTTCTCAATCAGCACCCCAAATAACCAAATTGAATCTAAAGTTGACCAAAAACCAATTTATAACCCTTTTGGTACTAATGTTGGAGAGTGGTCCCTGGTAAAAGTGGTCCCTGTTCAAGTGGCCCCTGGTCAATAAGGTCCTTGGTCAAAATTTTACCTGGTCAAGTGGTTCCTGGTAAAAAAAAAAAGGTTGGGAACCACTACTCTAGTGCTTGAATAAATACAATTGGCCTTCCATATCCATAAATTCTGTAGCAACGGCTTGAAACATTAAAAGATATATATACCGTATATAAGCATACCTTGATTTGCTATTTAATGTAAGAAGTGCCATTTTATTACACTATTGCATATAATGGGACTTGTGAATCCACTGATTTTGGCTTCATGGAGGGTCCTGAAGACCCCAGTAGATATTAAGCACCCACTGGAACTAGTTCTGGTATTAGGCCTTATTATCCACTTACGATATGAAGAAGGTCTGTAACTTTAAAAGTTGTGAAGTAAGACTTTCAACAAGCATGGTGTTTCACATTATAGGGATTATAGTGAGTATTCCCTTCTATGGAATTCAGAAAGAAACAAGAACCAGGCCTTGGAAACCCAATGCCATCGCATCCTTTTACCCGTGTGCTCTTCTTCTGCCAACAGATCATACCCATTTTGTCTCTGGGCCAACGCTCTAATTTTACTCTTTCATCTGCCAGCAATATAACTCTTTCATTTCAGTATGCCTTCGCTCTACAGACCACAACATTTTCACATGCTTCGCTTTCATTGCTCATTTTATCTGACGTCAGTCTCTTGTCAGATTCTGCCTTTTGAGGGCAAAGAAATTAATGTACGAGGAAATGGGTAATTGTATACATGTGACCTGACCAGCCTGCATGTTATTTTAAGAATTTATGAGGGACCTTCCAGAGCAGCTTTTATTTTTTACAAATTCACAAGATAAAACCCTACACACGCCCTTTGCAACTCTGCCAATTGATGTCTGGGGTTAGGTGGAGACTGTTTCCACATGGAGGAAATACAGTGCCACTGTGGAATCCAAAATTATAGACCTGTGAGGGTGAAGTCAGATATTTTCATGCCAAAACATCTCCTTGCTTCAAAGACCACATTTCCTGCCAACATCTTCCCCTTCCTGATCCTCTCTGCTTTGAGCAAAATGCCTCACACAAAGTTGGGAAAGAAGGGCATCCAGTGCCTGTAAACCTCACCAACATTTGTCTCTTTTTGTCTCAGAACAGCAGGCTGCTTGTGAAAAGAAGAAAAAATTCTGACCACATCCAGTTGTGTCCACACTGCTTGTAAGGCAAAACAAATGGTGCTTAGCCAAAGAAAGTAAACAACTTGGTCACATCCTGTAATAAGATTCATGATCGCAATGCCATGTATCATCTCTCTGGGATGATAGGCCAGGCTTATTTGATTACCAATTTTGTTGGTCTGGGAATAAATCTACCAAGTACAGGAAGTAACCTAATGCAATATATAAGGAATAATATATAAGGTATAAGATATAATGCAGAAAGCTACATGTATTAGAATTCTCAATAGTCCCAAGAGGGGCAGGGGAGAAGAGGAGGAGGATAAGGAGGAGGAGATGGAGATGGAGAAGAAGAAGAGGAGGAGGAAGAGGAAGAGGAAGAAGAGGAGGAGGAGGAGGAGGAGGAGGAGGAGGAGGAGGAGGAGGAGGAGGAGGAGTGTATGCATCATGAAGCATATGTCTGGGCAAAACAGGTTGGACATCTTTTATTTGGAAATCTGAAATACTTCAAAATCCAAAATTATTTTCATGGGTGACTGAAGTCATGACACATTTGCTTTTGGATGGCTCATTTGCTTTTGGATGTTCCCATGTAAGCTGCCCCAAGTCTCTTCGGGGAGATGGAGGTGGGGTACAAAAAAAAAGTTGTTGTTGTTATTGTTGTTGTTATTGTATAAAATTACCTTACGGCTACATACATAAGGTATATATAAAACACATAGTTAAATCCTGTATAATGTCTGAACAGGCACTTTGGAAAGCATGAAAAAACATGATGATAGGAATAATGACTCATTAGCCATGTTATATTGTTTAAGATGGTAATTTTCTACTATATGATATCTATTTAGACGCCTGAAATGCATGATGCCTTACATGCGGTGTAATGTATTATGATGAAACAAAATGTATATGTTTGCATTTGTATAGCTGCACATGTAAGATAACATTTAAGAATTAGCAAAGAGTCTACTCATTATCCCATGTAAACATCCTTAGATTCCAAGACTTAAGAAGCATACCATAGAATTGCATGGAGTACCTAGCAAATTCTTAGAGAGACCATGTCCCTTCAGGTGCGAGTAAGTGAAACTGCATGGAGATCTTTCTGCAGAACCGTCAGAATATATAGCTTGTTAACTGGAATTCAGGTTCTTTCCTATATGTAACGGTAAAGGTAAAAGCTTCCCCTTGACTTTCAGTCTAGTCGAGTCTGACTCTGGAGGTTGGTGCTTATCTCCATTTCTAAGCCGAAGAGCTGGTGTTGTCTGAAGACGCCTCCAAGGTTATGTGGCTGGCATGACTGCATGGAGTACCATTACCTTCCTCTGAAGCAGTGCCTACTGATCTACTCACGTTTGAATGTTTTTGAACTTCTAGGTTGGCAGAAGCTGTGGCTAACAACAAGAGCTCACCCTGTCCCATGGATTTGAACTGCTGACCTTCCAGTCAACCATTTCTGCAGCTTAGCGGTTTAACCCACTGTGGCACTATGGCCCCTGTTTCCTATGTGAGAGGTACCTTATTAGCGCTGCCTTCACAAAAGAATTTGGGTTGAGCTGGCAAAAATTCACGTCTTTAAGCATATTTTCTGTTCTCGAACAGACAGGTCAGGAAAAAGTACACTGTTATAAAACTACTTATTATAGAAGAGGCAGCAGGGAATTAATCTCCCACCTCGGATATTTCAGCAACTGAATTATTTATTCAGGACACCACAAATAATACTCAGAATAAGATTCAAACACACAGAATGCTACATTTGATAAATAGGCTCTCTGGGATCTCTTCCAAGGATTGGGCCTAGTTATGCTCAGAAGTCCAGTAAATAGCAACATTTCCCATGCAATAGCTTACATTAACTAGCAGTAGTACTTGTCACTCTCCTGTATTATGTCTACATTCAAAACTTTATGAATGCATACCTGAAAATATATCTTAATGCATTTAATCTAACATAATCTCTCTCTCTATAAAAGTCAAACGTATGTATCACAAAGGCTGTTGCTAGGTGAAGTGGCCCTCTGTGATGTCACTGGGAAAGAAAGGTGACATGTGTATGAAGGGGAGGAAGGAAGGAAGGAAAGAGCCAAAAAGAGAGCCATGTTGACATAGAGACATTATGTGAGCTGGAGGAGAGGAAAAGGGAAAGGAAAGAAAAAGAAGATAAATAAAGGAAAGAAGGGACAGAGGGAGAGGGGGAAAGAAAGAAAAAGGAGGGAAGGAGGGAGGGGAGAGGGGAAAACATATGAGGAGAAAAGAGAAAGAGATGAAAGGGGGGGGGGGGAGCAAGGTCCCTGGCAATGCTGTGGTAGATAAACAAGTAGCACATAAATCTGACATATGGCAATACTATTTACAACACATCTCTATGCAAACTGCAAATGTGAAAGAAAGAAACTTCATATCTGAGAGATTGATTATAAGATTTCCAAAGCCAAATTCAACATGTTCTAAGAGGACATCCAGAAAGATATGTGATTCTTACCTACACTGGTCGGAAATATGTCTTCATTGTTGATCTGCACTTCAATCCAGTCCATCAAAAAGTTCATATACTGCGGTGCTGGCAATGCTGTTGGTTTCTTGTATTTCAGGTCATCCTGCCACCGGTATTCATATTTTGGGCCACCAGACATCACAGGACAGGTCCTTTCCGTGCAGAACTCGCAGATAGTTCCATAGATTAGGTTGATCCTGTTAAAAAAGTCAACCACGTGGACCGCGACCCAGTCATTGAGATCTTCTCCGTTTGGAAGCTGCACAGCCCCTTTCAGGTCCACCCCGGAGTTCAGAGAGGCTTGGGCTCGTTTGTGGAGTTCAAACCTCTGAGTCCCAGGTTCAAATTTCCGTTTGGGACGGAACGTCTTGTCTTTATTAAAGACTTGCTTGAGTGCAATGGACATGTCTTGTCGTTTCCAAGAGCAAACCAAGAGGCACTGGAATGATGATAGAGTAAATCCAAGTGGAAGAGAAGAACAATCTCTGCAGAAGACTTCCTTGGTCAACTATCTCTTCCTGCTTAAAGTTTTCTTCGGCGACTTCATGTCCCTGAAGGTTCAGAGAAGGGGGAAAATCCACAAGTTAGTGCTAAGTTTGACACCCAACAATTTGCTAGTGATTATTTAAAATTACCTTGAAGTCTAAGTGTTCTTACTTAACAGATGGCTGGGAGGATATATGTATGTGGATGAATCCCCAGATAAGCAATTAAGTTGTCTTTGTACTTTTTCTTTTCAAACACCTCTATTGAGACAGGTAGGTATTGGAAAGGACAGCTACATCCTCTTGACTTCTCACTCAAACTCAGTCGCAATATGTTATAAAGGTGTGCTTCTCTACTAGCATAAAGAATATTTTACCAAATGGGTCTGTATTGCAGTCCTACACCCCAGTCAGTTTATCATCACAACGAGAATGAGGCTTTAGTTTCTGATAGGTAATATAAAAGGTAAAGGTTTTCCGCTGACATTAAGTCCACTTGTGTCCGACTCTGGGGTTTGGTGCACATCTCCATTTCTAAGACAAAGAGTCGCCGTTGTCCATAGACACTTTCAAGATCATATGGCCGGCATGACTGCATGGAGTGCCGTTACTTTCCTGCCGGAGGAGTACCTATTCATCTACTCACATTTGCATGTTTTTGAACTGCTAGGCTGACATAAGCTGGGACCAACATAGGCCAAGCTCATGCCACTCCCTGGATTTGAACCTGCGACCTTTTGGTCAGCAAGTTCAGCAGCTCAGTGATTTAACCCAATGTGTCAGCTGTCTTTTCAAATCTATGAATTCTATCTATGAAGGAGTTGGTTGCCCCTATGAATACAACAGAAGTGGGTAAAGTGCAATCCTTCATACGCTGCATTGCAACTCACAGAATTCTTCATAATTGCCTATGTCAGCTGGGGGATTTTTTTTAATGTCAGGAGCTACTTGAGAAATTGCAAGTTGCTTCTGGTGTGAGAGAACTGGCCGTCTGCAAGGACGTTGTCCAGTGGACGCCTAGGTGATTTGATATTTTGCCATCCTTGTGGGAGGCTTCTCTCCTGTCTCCGCAGGAGCTAGAGCTCACAGAGGGAGCTCATCTGTGCTCTCCCCAGATTTGAACATCCGACCTGTTTGTCTTCAATCCTGCCAGCACAAGGGTTTAACCCATTGTGCCACTGGGGGCTCCAGCTAAGGGGATAAAGGATCAAACGTTGCTCATATCAGCCTACAACACAGAGAATTAGGGCCCAATCGAATGAACTCAGACTTCAATAAAGGGTCAGTTCCAATGTCCTTTATGCAGACTTTCCAGTAAATGATCAAGGCAAAAGTCTACAGATTGCCTTGTTTCCCAAACATATGGCTGATTATCTGAAACCCCAAAGATAGGCAGCATGCGGGAGAAAAAAGGAGGTGGGGAGAGGGTAGTGCTATTTTTCAAGAGTGCATCTACACACTTTAGAATTATTGGAGATTGATATCATTTCAATTGCCATAGCTCAATGCTATGAAATCCGAAGCCTCCCACAAGGATGGTAAAACATCAAAACACCCGGGTGTCCTCTGGGCAACGTCCTTGCAAATGGCCAATTTTCTCACGCTAAAAGCGACATGCAGTTTCTCAAGTTGCATCTGACACACAAAAAAGAGAGTTTGGTGAGGCATGAGCACTCTTTGGCAGAAAAGGCCAACAAAGTTACAGTGCCCATAACATTAAGCCATGGCAATGAAAGTGGTGCCAAACCGTCTCAGTTCTACAGAGTAGATGCATTCCAAGTTAAGGTAATACTATCACTTTGAATTGCAAGGAGCTGGCTATGTTTTGCAGAGATGGACTACATTTACAAAGCAGAGCCATAGCAGGAGCCACAAGGCCACTTAGTCCAACTCTCTGCAGTGCAGAATTAGACTCAAGATAAAAACAGATAAACAGATAAACATGAAAACAAAAGATATGTTATAATCAGAGAGCATAATTGAACTATGGTATAAAAGTATGGCTGAAAGGTTGTTTTTTTTTAAAAAATAAAAGCCCATTTTAAAAGGTGCAATATAAATCCATTAAAAGCCACTTTTACAATTGCCAATAAACTGCTAAATGAAAATGTTTTGCTTGCCAGTGGAAAACCATTAAGAAGTGCTCAGTCTAGATTCCCTTGATAGGGAACTACAAAGCCTGGAAGCAGGAACCCAGAAGACATCTCACATCTCTACCAAATGTGCCTCTGAGGGTGATGAGACTGAAAGATGCTAGACAGGGCATGTAAGATAAAGTTTATTAGGCAGACACATTGTGAGCAACCATTTGGAGTTGCCATGTTGTTGTGAATCGTCATCACAGTCAACATCGACTTCTGGCACCCCTGTTGATGACATCTCACATCTGAGACTCAGGGCCATGCCTTCCTTTATCCACCTGAAATATAGTCTTCCTCTTTGCCTACTACCTTCTACATTGCCAACATTATTGTCTTTTCTAGTGGGTCATATCTTCTTAGAATATGTCCAAAATATCACAGTCTCTATTTAGTCCATTTCTATCAAATATGATAGAAATGGACTATTTCTGGCCAAATATTCTGAGATGAATTTATGAGTCTTTTTGACAGTCCAAAACACCACTCCAGCATCACATTTCAAATGAATTTATTTTCTTCCTATCACACGAATCAGAAATACAATAGTATGGTCAGGTAAAGGGTAAAGGTTTTCTTCTGACATTAAATCCAGTTGTGTCTGACTCTGGGAGTTGGTGCTCTTCTCCATTTCTAACCCAAAGAGCCGGTATTGTCCATAGACACTTCCAAGGTCATGTGGCCGGCATGACTGCATGGAGTGCCGGTAACTTTCCTGCCAGAATGGTACCTATTGATCTACTCACATTTGCATGTTAGGTAGGTTGGCAGAAGCTGGGGCCAAAATTGGGAGCTCACGCCGCTCCCTGGATTTGAACCTGCGACCTTTCGGTCGGCAAGTTCAGCAGCTCAGTGCTTTAACCCAATGTGTCAGCTGTCTTTTCAAATCTATTATTTCTATCTACAAAATAGCTGGCTGCCCCTATCAATACAACAGAAGTGGGTAAAGTGCAATCCTTCATAGACTGTATTGCCTACCTATTGATCTACTCACATTTGCATGTTTTCAAACTGCTAGGCTGAAGCTGGGGCTAACATTGGGAGCTCATGCCGCTCCCCGGATTCAAACCTGTGACCTTTCAATCAGTGAAGTTTAGTAGCTCAGCACTTTAACCCACTGCGCCACTGGGGGCTCTGGTAGTATGGACAAGTCTAACTTTAATATTCAATGCTAAACAAAACCCTGACTGATGCTAAACAAGACCCTCCCTGCACCATTGCTACTGTCAGCATGCTCACTTGCTTCACAGTAGCACCCAACTGCACCACCATGGAAAGGTACTGTTGTGGTGAGGATGTAATTCAGTGGTTCTCAACCTGTGGGTCCCCAAGTGTTTTGGCTTACAACTTCCAGAAATCCCTGCCAGTTTACCAACTGTTACGATTTCTGGGAGTTGAAGGCCAAAACATCTGGGGACCCACAGGTTGGGAACCACTAATGTAATCAGTACTCTGGATAAATTCAAAGACTGCACTCTCCTTGGCAATGGTGTCTCTTAGGCTCAGATAGGTATAATCATCTCTAGATATGTTCTTTGGACTCCCATGCAAAGCATATAATCTGTGATGGTCTCTTAGACAAGGGATGCAAGCAATAAACAAGTTTTATTTCAAGAGAAACACTTGGTTACTGTTCCTGATCTTGGCTACTCACACTATTCTTAACTCTTCTTATTGAAGTACCCTTTGGAAGTTGCTCAACTGAGAAATTCCTGACTTCTCATATCAAAAGATCAATCTGTTCTTTATGGCTCACTGACCATAAAGGATATAAGTAAATCTAAAATGGTGAAAATGGCAAATAAAAACCAGTTAGAAATATAATCCCTCTGTTCTACTTTCCTCCTGTTCCATGTACACAATAAAAAAAAAACCAGAGAAAAATATCATCTGACTTTCATGGGATTGTGTAGTCACTCAACCCTGTGAGATCATTCCTAGCTTTTTCTGTAGTGATAGTCTTCCCCGTTGTTTTGTTTATTTGAAAACCCAACAATTACCTCTATCTCTTCCCCCTCCTCTATGTAAACTGAGGATACAAAATGTTCTGTAATTACTGTTTCATAGAACTTGGGAAACTTGTATTACTGGAAGCCAAATTTCATACATGCTACAGTTAATGGGCTCAATGCAAGAGAAGGAATAGAATACAGTTATGGAAGATAAGCAGTAGTTTTGTTTATTGGTAGTCAATTGAGCAGCAAATCGATTTACTTCCAAGTCAACCAGTTACATTGACTTCTAGCACAGGGGCACACATTAATCATTCCACACATAGAGCTGTGACAATTGCTCTCACCACACAGAGGCTAGGCTATTTCTGGGGAAAAGAAAGGTATACAGCAGAATGAAAGAAGGTGCCCTAAACAGCAGTTTAACAACTTACCATAAGTTACTTATTAGTCCAAAAGTCCAATCCAACCGCCACTGAAACTAACCGATGTATCAATTTCCACTGGAATTAAAAGTGCTATATTAAAGCACAGCCTTAATCCAGTAACACTGCTCACCAACAACATGATCAAAACGAATTCAGTAATTAACATTACTCTAATTTAAATTAACCATTATGTGTCCCTTTATGTTATACTTTCACTCCCGAGGCCTTTCATATTCCAGACACATCTGGAAACTGAGATCTTCACTACATTTCACTTCTAACATGATATGGAATTTGGTATAGTGGGCCCACTATATGCAAACCTCATGATTTGTGGATGCAAACGTACACAACATTATACATTTTAAATTGTGGTGGGGAGCATGTCAACTTCCCACTTCATCTTTCATGGTGGTGGGATTCCTTCCCAAGGCAGAAGTGGACAGCTTGAGGGGTTTCTTCAAGCTCTGTTGTGGCTCTCTTACACCATTTTAAGAGAGATTTACTGTATATATCTGAAAATAAGCCTAGTTTTTCAGTCCCTTTTT